GTCCTTGCACGAGCTGCTCTTCCCCTTCGCACATCGTCTTTGGACCTCCTCTTCCCCCTTGTGCAACCTTCTCCCACCTCTTCCTGCCTCCTCGAGCTCCTCCTCCTCTTTACCCGACCTCTTCCTCCCCCACACGCGTCCTCTTCTGACCTCCTCATCCAGCTCGTGCGACCTCCTCTTACCTCTCTTCTGACCACAGCACGACCTCGTGCAACCTCTTGTCCTCCTCATGCAACCTGCTCCTGCTCCTCGCACGACCTCCTTCCCCCCTTTGCACGACCCTCTCCTCCTCTTCCGACCTCCTCCTCTCCCTTGTGCGACCTCCTCCTCCCCCTCGTGTGACCTCCTGCTCGTCCTTGAGCGACCTGCTCCCCCTCGCACATTGTCTTCCGAACTCCCCTCCCCCTCACGCGACCTCCAAGCGACCTCCTCCTCACCCTCTACTGACCTCCTCCTACCCTTTATGAGACCCATGACATTCATTCAGGGGATACTCACACGGGCACTACCCAAATTCCATTGAGCTTACAGCACGGAGACTGTTGGCAAATTGCAGTGGCAGAAGGAACAAGTTTGTCCCATGACATTCATTCAGGGGATACTCACAGGCACTACCCTAAATGTATCTGACCACAATTATGGCCGTACATGGATGAATCTCCCAGCAATTACGTCCAGAGCTTCGTAGAAAAACTCCTTGGTTGAGTATGCCCTCAGATGGAGGGTGAGAATCTGAGGATAGAAGTGTGTACATGGCCAAGGCGTGTCCAGATAGCGGGTGCTGATATGGGATTGCCACTCTGGTCTGATATTTGACATGTTTTGGGTCTTCCGGCAAGGCACCGGTGCATAGATACACAACCCTGAGGAAGGAGGAGGAGCTGAGGATGTGGAAAAGAATATACCTCCATGGATATGTAGTGGTGGTGAAGGGGAGTAGGCCTGGGCTATGGAGTTACAGAGAGAAGAACCTCAAGCTATGGTAGTTGTAGGAAAAGAGTAAAGTGGAGAGTCAGCAATGGGGACCGAGAAGAGAGAAAAGGTCCGATGTGTGAGGGGAAAAGCAGCAGGCACGAGGGGGTAAAGATTATGCTCACCTCTAACTGTGGGTCAGACAGAAGGGTGAGCACCATTGCTCTTAAGGAGTCCAAGTCATTCTTCTCTAGCACAAAAGTGTGTCTGTTTCAAAAAAACCCACAAACCACAAACCAAACCACGACAAATTATGAACCTGCCACATCAGACCACTTCCGACACAACAGTGCGTCTGTTTAAGACTAAAACACAGACCATAAACCGAACCAATACAAATTAACGACTCAATTCAATAAAACCCACAAACCACAAACCAAACCACGACAAATTATGAACCTGCCACATCAGACCACTTCCAACACTACAGTGCGTCTGTTTAAGACAAGAACACAGACCATAAACCAAAGCAATACAAATTAACGACTCAATTCACATGACGCCACTTTCACATCTTGTGGCAGAGAGTGCGTCTGTTCCAATAGTTGCAGAGTAAGACTATTCCAATAGTCAAAGAGTGTCTGTTCCAATAGTTTCCCTCGGGCAGGTCCGCAAGGACTATAGCTGCGTCTGTTCCAATAGTCGCAGAGTAAGAATACTAAGAAATTATGAATAAAATTAAACCATGCTCTAGGAAGATTTTTAAGATTATTAACAGAAAGAATTGCCTTCCGGAACAATTTCATTTATTTCAATACCTAAATCTCGAAACAGGCATCTAAAATGTTAGTCTTTCTTTCACCGTTTTTTTCCACAACACCGCCCCCTTGCCCTCCACTCTTCCCCAACACCCCCCC